AAAGATACTTTTAAATAAAATATGCACGGCCCTCCCCGATGGGGTCCTGTGGAGGCAGGCGGTCGGGACCGTGTAAAATTCCCAGCAGGCGGCCAGGCCACGGCCTGTGCCAGACGCAGCTGCCGTCTGCGTTTAAGAGAAACTCAGACTCGCTCTGCGGCGGCTGCTTTTCCGCAGGTGGCATGGCCCCGTTTGGGGATGAAGGGAATCCTTGGGAGTGAGAGGGGATCCTAAACACAGGACCCCAATCCTAGCGAATCGCATGTGAGTGCCACCCCAGCCACGGCGCCGGCACGGGCTGCTCACCGCAGCCCCACAGCCCCACAGCGGAGGCACGCCTGGGCCTCTCGGGCGGGGAAGCACCTGTCACCTGAGACCGTTAACATGATGGGCGGCTCCGTTAACCAGGCGTGAGCGCTATTCCGGTGGAAAAAATAAGGGCTCAGGACTAACCCGTAGAAACGCAAGGTCTGGGAGCAGCGATTTCAAGGACACGCGGGAGGCGACACGAGATGCAGAAAAGTTTGTGTTTTCCAAAAGCAAAGGTGAGCCAAGAGCCTAGGAGTCAGCGCAGCCACCTGAGCCCCTGCACCGAACACACACACATACACACACACACACATGCACACGCACAGCGGGATGTGATCCACACGGTCCACGCAGTCCACAGGAGCCCCCACACGTGGCCAAGTCCTGGGGACCGATGGGCATTTTGCTGCTTCCACGGACTCTAGCCACTTCCGTGTGGGGACAGCCAGCTGGCCACGTGTGGGCATCTTCCTGCCCTCAGCCCGGTATTGCTCAGTGGTTAGAGCGTCAGCCCTCGGTCTGAGGGGTCACAGGTTCAATTCCGGTCAAGGGCATGTACCTTGGTTGCAGGCTTGATCCCCAGCCCTGGTTGGGAGTGAGCAGGAGGCAGCCAATAGATGTGTCTCTTTCACATCCACGGCTCTCGCTGTCTCTCCGCCTCCCCCCCTACCCCACCTCCCTTCCACTCTCCTCAAAAGTCAGTGGAAATATATCCTCGGGTGAGGATTAACCACAACAAAAGAGTTTACTTTGCATAGCAAGGCACATGCTAACTGGCCGATATGGAGCCAGAATCAGCTGCCTGATGTTGGTCCACGTGTTCCTGCACAGGCTGTGCCGGGACCTGACCCAGCCTTTCCGCTGCGGGAAGATAGTCAGCAGAACTGGAAGGGAGCCCCACGAGCCGGGAAGTTAAGCTCAGCTGCCAGGCGCCCTCCCCTTTCCACACACTTGCAACGTTTTACCAACTAGCAGGAAGGGAGACGGGGGGGGGGCGGTTTTTCGGGGGATCTGGGCGAGACGGGCCATGATGATGATGAAGTGGCTTTAATTTCTCGGTCTGCTCCTTCTCTCTGCCCGGGTCGCAGAGGCTGGGCAACCTCCCATAAGTTGAGACGGAAGGCGAGCCTTTTATTTGTCCTTTTGTTTTCCGGAGTCAGTAACGTTGCCCAAAGCCAGCGCGGTTTTTATGAGATGTTCAGGGCGTTTGGCTTCAGCTCAGCTCATTTTCATTCAGCACTTTCTTAAGAATGTGGCGTGATGCTCATTTCCTGCCCGCCCATAAAATGTCCGGATGCGAAGCAATTTTGCAAATAGCCTCCCTCTCACGCTGGGCGCAATTCATATTTGTCGATGCGAGCCTGGCGAGCGTCTGCAGGAGGCAGAGGCATCCGTCCACGCGGAGGTTCGGGTTGTGCTCAGCCTCGGTTCCATCGCGCCCCCTGCCCCTCCCGTGCTGTTCACACAGCCCCTTTTCTCTCGCTCCTTCCCTCGCAGCCAGAGCTACCTGCAAGCCGCCAGCGACGGGCCCGCCGGCCACGGCCTGGACCCCTCTGCCAACTACAACTCCCCGAAGTTTCGCTCCAGGAACCAGAGCTACATGCGGGCGGTCAGCATGCTGAGCCAGGCCAGCTGTGTGAGCCAGGTGGGGACCCCTTGCACCTCTGCCCCTAGGCCCCGTCTCTAGAGCTGTGTTGTCCCCAGGAGTCTTCCTGCCAGGGTGACAGCCCCCATCCCCCCGCCCAGGTCTAGGGGAAGGCCAGGAGAAGACGGGCAGTTACCTGCCACAGGTTACCGGTCTGGGACCTGCCTGAGGTGCAGGTGTCCCGACATTTATGACTGTGATGCTTACATTGATCTCTTCCGAGTAAGGAAGGACAGACCAGCGGCCCATCTCAGCCCCTTGCTGCTGAGTTAGCTCACACTGTCTTCCTTTCCCCAGTGAAACGGGCCAGGGGCAGCCCGATGGTGCCACATCCTCCCCACGGCACGGCTCTCTGAAAAGGTCACGTGCGGTGACCTCCAGGGAGCCCACCGTTGGCCCGCCCCTTCCTCACCTGCCACCCTCCCATCTCCCCAATGCTCTGGGCCTTGGCTCCTTCCCTAGAGCACTTAGCGTTGCATTCCCGAGTGGGTGGGTCACAGAGGAGGTGTGGGACGCTGCGAACCACACCGACCTTTCCCCGCTGACGCCCTCCGGGGACGCCCCCGGGACCAAGCCGCGGTCAGACTGGCCATGGGGAGTCCTTTCCACTTCCGACGCTCCCTCGCGCTCAGGGACAGTCGGCTCGCGGAGGGCAGGTCATTTCTGTCCTTTCTCGACCAATTCGAGGCCCTTCTCCACCACCTCTCGTTTGGGAAGAGTCACATTCATGCTGGAACCCCGCTGAGGAGCTGGGGCTGGAACATCAGCCGGGTGGTCCTCTCCGAAACTGCGCTCTTTGTGGGACTCATGTACATGTTTAGGCCCCTCGCAAAGGAGAGCGCCAGCCCCGCTGGGCTGGCGGAGGTTCCCACGCTTCACTCCTAAGTCCCTGCCCTTCCTCCCACCCGGCCTCGTCCGCCTGGTCTTAGCCCCGAGGTTCACTCTGTTAGATTTCCAGGTAAAGCCTCCCGATTTGGCTCATGGGGAACATGAGCGTGTTACCCCCTAGAGACTTGGGGCCGTCTCACCTGCCCAGGGTCACGACCCTCCACCAGGCCCACGGCCCAGCCTGTCTCTGCCCCAGGGTCCCCCACTATCCCAGCCCTGATCATTTCTTAAAATGCAGGTGGACTCAGCCGGGCTGCCTCAGTGGCTAAGCGTCAACCTATGAACCAGGAGGTCACAGTTCGATTCCCTATCAGGCCACATGCCCGGGCTGCGGGCTCGAACCCCAGTGTGGGGCGTGCAGGAGGCAGGACTCTCTCTATCAGGGATGTTCCTATTTCTCTCTCCCTCTCCCTTCCTCTCTGGAATCAACAAAAATATATTTAAAAATAATAAAACGCAGTTGGAACTTTCAGAGTCCCAGGTGACTCCCCACCTGGAAGGTAAATCGCAGACTTGGAAATCATCACCAGCTAAACTCCAAATGAAGTGAGGGCGCTCATGTCACAGGCCGAGGAAGAAAAAGGGGGGGTGGGGGAGGCAGAATGAGGGGATGGCCCTGGTGGAGGGCAGACAGAGACCCCCCCAGCTATCGGCTCCTGCTGCTGCCTGGGGACAGGACGAGCTTATTGACAAACGGGCTTGGTCTCCATGGCGACGAGGAGAGGCAGAGGAAGTAGCTTGTGGTTTGAACTCGGCCTTTGCAGCAGGTACTGTGCTAACTTTTCAACGCAGCCTCTCAAACACAGTCACACCTGCCGGCCACCCTTGAAGCATCGGCTTGGGGTCCACAGGACGCCCCGGCCGGCTCGGAACTGGCCTCTTGCCTTTGAGTTTAGTAGGAAATAGCCCACCCTAGCGGGTTTGGCTCAGTGGCTAGAACGTCGGTCTGTGGACCGAAGGGCTCCGGGTTTGATTCTGGTCAAGGGCACAAGCCCGGGTTGCAGGCTCAATCCCCGGCCCTGGTCGGGCCTAGTGTGAGAAGCAACCCATCAGCGTGTCTCCCACATCGATGTCTCTGTGTCTCCCCCTCCCTCCCACTCTCTCTAAAAATCAATGGAGAATACCCTCGGGGGAGGATTAACAACACAGCGATCACCCAGTAAGCTCTTTCCCGAGCCGAGGTCCGGTGCTGATGTCACACTCCCCGCGCTGGGCGTGGCCCTGGGGGGAGGATTAACAACAACACAGCGATCACCCAGTGATCACCCAGTAAGCTCTTTCCCGAGCCGACGTCCGGTGCTGATGTCACACTCCCCGCGCTGGGCGTGGGAGACTCCCGGAAGCTGGTGGGTTTCGTGCCCGCGGGCCCGGGTGTGCGT